AACCTACTGAAAATGAGAAATATTTGCTTACTCATCAATAAAATTCAATAAACTTATCCTGTTACAACAGAATTATTCCATAACTAGAAGAAAACTCGTTATGAGTCACACCTAATGAGTACCACTTATTAGAAAATCAACCCCGACATCGTGATTACCACTTAAAATATACAAGAAAACTAATTAAAAATATAAGAAATTATACAACCAAAACACTATGAGAACCACTCATTAGAGAAAATGAGAACCACTCAATAGAAATTTGAGAACCACTCATAATAAAAATATGCAATAAAATTGTGATTCTGTTGAATCAATGACTCATACGCTTGTCATAAAATATAATAAAATTATATAATTAAAAAACCGTCCTACAACAACGCGTGAAAAATCTAACCTCTTTTGTCTTTGTTATCTATTTGATGTCGTCATTAATCAAATATACCATTGTACAACAATACAAAAATAATTACACAATACAAAAAATAATCAATACAAAAATAATTACACTCGGACAACAATAATTACACTCGGACAACAAAGGGAGGTCACTTTTATAAGACAGTCATTATCGGGTTATGCCCCTTGGCGGGTTCACCCGCCCTTCACCCGCCAATATGATAAGCATTTCCTACACTCTATACTACTGTCAAGAAGTATTGTTACATTTTTTGTAACCGTATCTTCAATCATCCCGACATCTGGACTACTAAAAACAAGACGTATTCTATCCTGAAAAATGCCCCAGACGTCTTTTGTGTCTCGTTTTTAGATTCATCCTCAAAATGTTCCTTGTTCTTTAAATATTGTGTTTATGTCCGATTCTGATGCAATTTCCTCTGCAGTGGTCTTTGCTGATGCAAATCCTTCTTCTTTCTATGTTTGGTGAAGAAACGTATTATGCAATGTAAATGTGTAACGACTAGACCTACATCAATTTGCATATTCGAGGTCTGCAAGACATCGCTGGCGGTGTTGAATGCATGCATCATGTCACATCATACGACCATGGCAAGCAGAAATGCAAAAAATTCCCAGCTCGTAGTTGGCAAGACAAGTGGGTCCACTATCCACTATAGTAGGGTCTTTGAGCGATTGAACTTTGAGGCTAGCACGGAGAGGACGCAGGGTGATCATTTCATTACTTGGTACGTCTGGACATGGTGTCGACTGGAAATTACGAACACGAAAAGGCGCGGCCTGGCTGTATTAATAGAATATTCTAGTTCCGTAACCAGGGCTTAACCGGGAACAATTTTTAAAGCCTGGCTCCGGTTATTTTGAGTTTTTTTTTTTTTAAATAAAAAAAACAAAAACAAAACAAAAACACAGATAATTACCGGTAACTTCTCATTTTAATAATAATAATAGTAATAATAATAATAATAAGAGGTCTTATATAGCGCGGTACCCCAGCCTAGGGCTGGGCTCACCGCGCTGTACATAAAAATTTTATCAAAGAGACGTAATCATGACATTAAAATAAAATACATTTATGAAATAAAGAACAGCAATGTATATTCACCCACCCCACCACGTAACTTTTACAAGGCAAACCATCGACGGCAGCCAGCAAGATCGTTTATCGGTCAGAGGAGGGGAATCAGTCAGGGTAATATAATTTTAAAAGATATGTTTTGAGTGCAGTTTTGAAGGCCTGGGTGGTTGGTATATTGCATATATGTGTAGTGGCAAAGAATTCCATTGTTTGGGGGCGCAGAAAGAGAAAGATCGTTCACCATATGTTTTAGTGTGTGTCTTGGGAATGGACAGAATACGCGTGTCTGTAGAGGAGCGAAGCTGTCCAAGGGGTGAATAGACAGAAAGAAGTTCGGTTAGATAGGAAGGACAGGAATCCAAGAAAAGGTTGTGACAGAGAACAGACAACTTGTAGTCAATGCGTGCCTGTATAGGGAGCCAATGAAGGGAATGGAGTAGTGGAGTGACGTGATCACGTTTTTTTTTCCTTTAAAACTAGCCTAACAGCTGAGTTTTGAAATTTCTGCAGTTTTTCTATGCAGTGTTTTTGGTGAACCTGACAGAAGAGAGTTGCAATAGTCAAGACGAGAGAGAACAAGAGCACAGACTAAAGGTTCTGTAGCGCTAACTGTGAGGTAGTGGCGTATGGAGCTGATCTGACAGATAGTGGTGTATGCTGAACGACAAATGTGAGATATGTGTTTATCGAGAGACATGTTGTTAGAAAGAATATAACCATGATTCATAGCAGAGGGTGTAAACCGTACGTCAGAGTTACCTACTTGAAATGAGGTAGGAAGAATTGAGGTAGAGGATGATGTGTGATTGTGGATGAGGAGTGCTTCCGTTTTGTCATCATTAAGTCAACTTGCTGAGTGTCATCCATGACTTGACATCATCAATGCACTCCCGCAAAGTCTGGACAGCGGATTCAACAAGAGAAGGATGGGTATGCTTGTATAGCTGCGTGTCATTTGCAAATGACTGGCGCTCAACATCATGCCTCCCAAGCAAGAGGAGCAGTGGTCTGATATACAATGTGAATAGAATCGGGCCTATGGTACTGTGGTACTCCGTACACCAAATCAGCACTGCCTGAGAGACAGCCATCGACAGAGACCGCCTGCGTTCTATCAGAGAGGTAGGACCTAAACCAAGCCAAAACTGAACCAGAAATTGCAAGGTAATTTTCAAGGGTTTTGAAAAGGATTACATGGTCAACAGTGTCAAAGGCCGCACTGAGGTCTAAGAGGATCAGGATGGAAATATCACCACTGTCCAATGCGAGCAAGAGGTCATTGGTCACTCTCAAGAGAGCCGTCTCTGTGCTGTGGAAATGTCTATAGGCCGACTGATTAGAACTGAGAAGAGAGTGGTCAATTAAATAAGCAAAAATTTGTTTTAGAACTAGTTTTTCTATAACTTTAGATAAAAATGATAAGTTAGATAAAGGTCTTTAATTTTTTAAATTATTTTCATCCAGATCAGGCTTCTTAAGCAATGGTTTGATGACAGCTGATTTACAAGCTTTCATTTATTATGTGGGTTAACGTTGGGAGCAAATGATCTAATGACTCACTTTTTTCGATAATATGCAGCGAAATCTACTTAGTGAACCCTATGTCGTAGTGAGAGTGCATTGCTTTCGTCGACCTTTTGTGTCAAGGAATAGCCCACTGAATATTTAAATAGGAACAGCCAGTTCGCCATATCCGGGAATAGAGATGACGTTGTACAAAAACTCGTGGATGGAATAGATACTTCCGCTCATTTTATAAATAGAACTTAGGAAATAACATAAACAGCAATACCTTCCGAAAACAGAGACATTAAAAAAAAAAAAAGAATTCCTTTCTAAAGATTTTTTAAAACCAATTTACCTGACTTCAGCCGTCACGCAAGACGCTCACCGCGTCACCGCGTTTTTTCTTCTTCTTCTTTCTCTCAGTACTATTAATATAAAATATGTTGAGGAAGGGTGGGGGCGGCCGGTTGTGAAAATGAAGCAGGACACAAAGCAGGACACACCAGCAGCAAAATATATATATAACAGATAATAATGAAAGGCTACTCGCAATGCCCCCGTGGGGTCTTGGGCGGTCTCGTTATGTTCCATCCCCAAGCACCTGCTGACAGTAGGCCTATCAGGGCCAGCCTTAGACCTTCTGATGCCCACTAAGTTATTCAAAATCCAGTAGCCCCCTACCGTTTCAAATTACATCTGTTGGTCAAAAAAAAAAAAAAAATATATATATCCAAAAGATGGCGAGACCTGCAGACAGTAGGCCTATCAGGGCCAGCCTTAGACCTTCTGATGCCCACTAAGTTATTCAAAATCCAGTAGCCCCCTACCGTTTCAAATTACATCTGTTGGTCAAAAAAAAAAAAAAAATATATATATCCGAAAGATGGCGAGGCCCTAAGCTGTATATAATATTATAGACATTACTTTTTAAGCTTATATATTAACGATTTCAAAGCCGTTAAAATCTATGTATATAATTTGCCAGCAAAGGTCAAGCACCAACATGGTTCAAACATCACGCAGGCTATTTATAGATACGCCAGAGTGTGGTTCAATAATGAGTTCACTAGCGCGCAAAATATAATTCCCGATAACTACGCTATATATGATATATATTTTTCTTAAATAACGCAATTGCGTTGGTGCTTAATATTTTCTTTTCGGAAATGAAATCGTCTCAATTTAAGTATTGTGTAAAAAATTATTCGGTTTAAAAGTGGTTTCGACATGAGAATATTAATATAGTTCATGGGCGTGAAATAAAAAGTGTGCAGTGACGTATCATGGGGGAAGGGGTGGAGCAAATATTGGGATTCTTTTAAATTTAAAATGTGCAATGACAATTAATAAGGCACAGGGACAAACTTTCAAAAAGATATGCCTCTATCTACCAAAACCGGTCTTCAGTCACGAACAGTTGTATGTAGCTCTCTCCAGAGTTCCATCTTTTCTCACGCAATCACAGTTGTATCCTCAAGACAAACCCAGCCCATTTGGACAACTGTGTCTTTCACGAAGTCTTCACTCATCTATGAGTATGCTACGTCGCGGGTCCACTAGTATATTTATATTTTTTTAATTATTATTTTTAAAAAAAAAACACAAAAAACTGTAGTGTTAACTTTGTTCAATTTTTAACTTTGAATTAGAAAATTCTCATAGTAACGTAACCATAAATACGTTAAATTTTATAGACTGTTGTAGACTGTAGAGGCAGCCACAAATTTAAAAGTAAAGAAAAAATAAAGGTTTTAATTAAAAAAAAATAAATAAATATTTGGACGCGTTTTGGCACTGTTTCAATGATCAATAAATGGGTAACCCACTTTCAAAGTTTTATTTTTTCTTTTAAATTATAGGCAAAACAACTAGACTATATCATTTCTTTAAAATATTTTTAATTTTTTTTTAAAAACTTTTTATTTTGAGGATGAGACCAAAGTTCACGTGACCTCTTTTTTTTTTTTTTTTAAATAAAAGGAAAAAAACAGGGGAAGACAACTATTAACTTTTCGTAATGACAACAAAAACACCACAAAGACATTTTTTTAAACGACGTTAGATACCAACAATAATGGATTGAAATGTGGGGATATTATTGTATTAGAATGTGTTCTCACTATTAGATGAAACTTAATTACTTCCATTTCGGCTCATGGTATCATTATTTTGTATTTTAGATAATCTAGGACACTGACAGCCTGAGTACTAGGAATAAAAGGATCTAATCTATCCTGACCTAATTAAATCACCACTTCAGAAAATTCAAGATTTAATTTAACCTGTGCTGTGTCACTCAGTATTACTAGCTAAAAGCTATTTTTAATCTATAAATACTAAAACTAAACACCAGTAATGTTAGTAACGCTTTACTGTGAGTGAATGACATCTTGACTCTTACACTTACACAGTCTACATGCAGTACAGTCTAAGCTACTTAAATTAAAATAACATAAACTTATCTGCTGGAATCACTGTGACATTGACATGTTACTAAATTACTTGTCTCAACAGTTCAGTGAGTAGGGACTGTTATTTAAGATTTAAGCTTTTAACTTTAAGTTAAATTATCTTTTGATCATCTGATCTCCGACCCATCTCTGCTAATACCCAGTGCTATTCATCACCACTGAACTGTCATTGACTTGGACTTGATAATTTATGAGCAATTAGGATTAGGCAAATTGTCTTTAACATGAATGCGAGATCTCAAGCTATCCAATTGGTAAGTAGTCCAACAACTGGAAGCCTAAGAAAGTTAAATAACATAATGTTACAATTAATTAGGCTAGTGTTTGGTAGACAAATACTTACATTTTAGTTTGATACAACTAGTACTAGTGTCTAGTCATTAATGTAAAGCAAAGTATGGTAACTCAATAGTTGACTTATTTTATTTGTCTTATTCTTATACTTACATAACTTTTTAACGGAATCATTTATAAGTTACTAATAAAAGACTTGAAGGTAAAGTATGTGTGTTACCTTTGTTTCTTTGAAAAATTTTAGGCCAAATAATTTTAATCTAATTCAAATGCTCTATCTTTTTAATTTTATGGATTTATTAATTTAATTTGTATATACTATCTAATCTTTCAACAGACTGTAGAAGGAAGGCAAATAGAGGAAGTGGTTCTTGGACTTTTTCATACCATTTTACTTAACCGCACAACTGGCAAGGTATGAAAGCGTGCATGTTCTCTTAACTTCAATTTTAGCTAACAAGTTTTCCACATTTCTACACACAGTCGTCCTTCGCTATATTGTGATTCACTTTTCATGGTCTCACTGTAGCACAGATTTTATTATATATCTTATAGAGATACCCATATAGAATTTATAGTAAGTTGTTAGAATTATGTAGGTTGAACACTGTAGAAAGTGTTTTAGAGTGTGGAAATGGTTATTGACAAAGTGGGAAAGGTTTATAAGAGTGTGGGAGGGCTTATAAAGTCTTAAAATATATATATAAATAATAAATGAAATATAAGGTTGCCACTTCTTTGATTTTTGGCTATCACAAGGCGTTCTGGAACCTAATGCCAACCATAGATGAGGGACCACTGTATATAATTTGGAATGCTTTTTCACTCGCATGCAAGAACATGAAGAAGGGGTGGTGGTGGGTGGGGGGGGGGGCTGTCTGGTGTACTGAAAATAGTTTTTTCGGGGGGTTGGGGGGGGGGAAGGTTTCAACCTTGCCTATATTGAGCAGCATTAACCTTGCTACACCAGAGACATGGGAATCCATTAGCCACGAACAGTAAGAGTGTTTCCATCTGAACTTGTTGATGACTTTTTAAATTTTTTTTTAATAAGAACTCTATTTTTATATTCACCCTGAAAGTTGAGGAATAATAATTTCATTTAAAAAACTTAAATTATACATGTTATGGTATTAATTTTATCGTGTTATTTTATTCTACAGCACAACTATACAAAGGACAGAAATTTTACAATTGGTTCTTTAAGTGTACAAGATACAGACTGTGATTTTTTAGATTTTACATATGTGAGTATTTGATGAAAGAAACAATGTGTAGCAATTAAGTTTTGTCACACAAAGAAATGTTGTAAAAATTTCTCTTCATGTACACTACAACTGAAAAGGGTTTCATGTGGTCAGTTTAAAATTTCTTGCCAGTTAAAGTGTATAGTTTTTTACTAAACATTTGCAACGCCAATTCTTATTACATAATGATATACATTATTATTTATATTAAAGGCACCCCCCTTAGATGTTAAGGGGGAGTGGTGAATTCATGACTGCTGAGAGGATTATTAAGTGCTGGAACAAGACTAAAATTGGCCCCTCCACCTACACATTGATACATGAATCAATCATGTCATGATTTTATTAATTACATTCAAACGTACTTGCAAATATATTAAAAAGGTGACAGGTACTTCTGTAAAAGATAATAAAAACAGTAATACCCATTAACATATAAACAAAAATAAAACAATGTACATACACAAAGAATTTAAAACTAAATTGATTATAAGCTTGTAACAGTTATTTATAGTTCAGATGTTATGGTATTTATATCCTGCTAAATAATTGGTCTTTCCTAACCTTTTTCCTGGCAAAATTGAGAATAACATCATCAACATCAGACACAATACTGAGTCTTGCCAAATTTATCAGTTGCGTCTGTGACATAATTACATAAATGCTGAATAAAGGTTCTGCAGAGGCCGCAGTAGCACGAATTGTTAACAGAACTATATGTAGCCCGCCAAACATTGGCAACAGCAATGCGTGAACTTCCCATCTTCTAAATTTACTTGACAAAAAATGAGCTCAAGTAACGCACATTTAAGAATCCCAATTTTTGCTACACCCCTCCCCCCATAATACGTCACTGCACACTTTTTATTTCATGCCCATGAGCTATATTAAATATTCTGATGCCACAACTCAAATTGAGACGATTTCATTTTTCGAAAAGAAAATATTACGCGCCAAACGCAAATGCATTATATAAAAAAATAAATCATTTAGCGCAGTTGTCTGGAATGATATTTTGTGTACTCTTGAACCATACTTTCTTTCAAACATATAGAATTATTTGTAATATACTCTCATTACCAAAATGCTGATTGGGAAGCAGTCAATTAGGAAGCAGTCCACCAGAAGCTTAATATATATAAGAGATACAGAGGCAGATGCCTATTTGGAAAGAGTTCTTGCAGCGTGTATCTTTTCAAGCAATTCAGTAACTCCAATGGACTTGGCTCACTCATAAATTTGCTTGATGACCAGATGGCAAATTACTTATCCCCATTACAAAATCTTTACTGATCAGCGGGATATTGACCTGCCAGTAATTTTGATTTTCTTTCATTACATCTAGAGCAGGGGTAGGGAAAGTCCGGACTGTGGGGCAGATACGGCCCATAAGATCATTTGTTTTCATAACAACATAAATTTATATTAAGTGAATCAAAATAATCACATACATTTTGAAGGACAAGTTAAATTCGTTCTATGAAAATTACATCACCTCGATAATGCTGAGTTGTGCGAGGATTCCACAGAGAATTTTGCACATAGTACCCAAAATGTTTGTATTGCGCGGCATATAACTCTAATTAATTTTTTTTAATAAATTATATTGAACACTGCATTAAGTATGGTACTGTAAAACTTTAAGTTGTGGAGCCAATGTATATGAATCCAATAACAATTTAAAGCAAATAGAAACAATTATTTTTAAAATTTATTAAATTAATATATGTAAATCTTAAAATAGTTACTTTGACAGAAAATAATTGTTAGTGAAGTAATATTTAATTATCTTAATTTGAATCATATTTATGTTCTATATTTAATGGTGGATAATATATGATGGGGGTGTGTGGCATACATATTTTTTATGTCATGTGGCGCCGGTCCGAATTTTTATGGCCTGCCAATGACACTATAAATGTCCAAATGGCCCTTGGAAGAAAAAAAGTTTCCCCATCTTTGATCTGTAGCACCTTCTTCTGTAGCACCTACTTCTGTAGCACCTTCTTCTGTAGCACCTTCTTCTGTAGCAACTACTTCTGTAGCACCTTCTTCTGTAGCACCTACTTCTGTAGCACCTTCTTCTGTAGCACCTACTTCTGTAGCACCTTCTTCTGTAGCACCTTCTTCTGTAGCACCTACTTCTGATGCACCTACTTCTATAGCACCTTCTTCTGTAGCACCTTCTTCTGTAGCAACTACTTCTGTAGCAACTACTTCTGTAGCAACTACTTCTGTAGCAACTACTTCTGTAGCACCTTCTTCTGTACACCTTCTTCTGTAGCAACTACTTCTGTTGCACCTACTTCTGTAGCACCTTCTTCTGTAGCAACTACTTCTGTAGCTCCTTCTTCTGTAGCACCTACTTCTGTAGCACCTTCTTCTGTAGCACCTTCTTCTGTAGCACCTTCTTCTGTAGCAACTACTTCTGTAGCACCTACTTCTGTAGCATCTTCTTCTGTAGAACCTACTTCTGTAGCACCTTCTTCTGTAGCACCTACTTCTGTAGCACCTTCTTCTGTAGCACCTTTTTCTGTAGCACCTACTTCTGTAGCCCCTACTTCTATAGCACCTACTTCTGTAGCACCTTCTTGGTGGAACCTCTTTCCTTTCAGAGAGTTTAAAAACTATGCACAAATTAGAAGCATCATGCTTAGCTTTGCTCAGCTTACTTTTCCAGCTGTTCCGAACGATTTGTCAGTTCTGAAATCAGGCCATTTAAGGTGGACATTTCTGAACTGAATAACCTTGTTACAGATATTAATTCGAACTAATACTCTGTACCTTACAACAGACACTATCAGACAGATGAAGGATCTGACATAAGACAAAGCTCCATTTATCTCTGTTCTTATTTTGACAGTTAGGCCCATTACACTTATGAAAAATTTCCCATCACCGTGGACTAGAACTAAACAAGTTGTAAACAGTTTGTACAGCTCCAAAGTTATGGCTTCTGAATTTATTCTGTGACAACATTTCTACACACATCAAGTGTGGGGCATCCACATGGTGAAAAACCCCCCCACTGTTTCACATTGTTCAAGTATTCTTGTTTGTGCAACTTTATATTTTCCTGCCATGCTGGCTACATTGTCATATCCCTGTGCAGGACAATCTGACAGGGGACTAACTTTCAATGTCTATCATGAATGAATGTGTATGAATCTCCCTCAACATTTAGCTTTCCTCTGGTTAGCAGGTATTTTGCTTGAAATTGTTAGGGTTCCGATTGCCTAAAACCTTGTTCCCAACCAGAGAAAAATTTCACAGATGCAAGGCTTAAAGCACATTGTTCAGTTCAAAGATCGAAATGGGGTAGCTTGCCCTTTGAATCAAAAGCCTAAAAATAGCAATCATGATAATTGTATGTAACTTGTGAGCTACAGCTTCACATAAATATGCTTGGTTTTTAGAACATAACAATTTCTGACCTATTTATTAATTTGTTGAAATCAAATTTTGCACAAAATGAATGATTGATTGAATTTTAAAAAAAATTTTTAAGGATATTTCAACTTTCATGTTAAAGAAATATCAACTTTCATGTTAAAGATATATCAGCTTTCATGTTAAAGATATATCAACTTTCATGTTAAAGATATATCAGCTTTCATGTTAAAGATATATCAGCTTTCATGTTTAAGATATATCAGCTTTCATGTTAAAGATATGTCAGCTTTCATGGAAAATGTTATCATTGTTTAATTAAGTTTTTGAAAGACATATGACAAGTTTTGTGTCTCAGGTTGTAGCACCTGTGATTTGAACAACATCTTTGACGCAGTGCTAAATATTACTCCTCATTTCATGCTTGGTGGATAGGTGAAGATAATCAGCCAGGAACTGGACTCATATCTCAAGAAAGAAGTGACCCAGTTCAGGGACATGCTTCGCCACAGTGATGGTCAGCAGTCAGGCCAGGTTTGCATGCAATTATTTTTTACCCTCTTTCAAATGTGCTCAGAAATCTTAAGAAATGTTCAAGTCAATTGATTTGCTTATTTATAAAAATGGATGCAAAAAGAAACAAAAAGGTCATTTTAAAACACGTTCCTCAATTTATTTATATATTTATGATTGAAATTTATTATTTTTGAATGATTGGGGGCTGAAGTTTGTTAGAATTAGTATTTTTGCATTAAAAAGCCATACATCTTGATGTCATTATCATCATAAATAGTATTATTTGGCACATTTAGTGGTAAATCCTTATGAGAAATTGTTTCTTCTTCAAAATACTTGAATATTAATGTAAAAAATATCCTGTGATTTTTGTTTAAACACAACACTGTTTCCCCATTATTTTAAATTGTGCTGAGTAAGCAAATAGAAGTTTGAATTCTTATAAGTAAAATAAACCTACATATATTTTAACTATGGGTCAGATTAATGTAAGATTTTATCCAGTATTGTACACGTTGATATCATAGAATCAAATGATCAGAACTGTGTCTGTAATTTGAAGTATCTTTTACGTCTCACAGATAGTTCTGGAATTTTACCGCAAGCAAAGGAATAGATGGCTTTTTCAGGGAGATGTCTTTCCATGGGAGGTTTGGAGCATCAAGCTGGACATCATCAACTTATTGACAGAGAATGGTAAACACTTGGCTAAACTATTGAGAAATATTTAACACTCAGCTTAACTGTTGAGAAAGCTTATGCTGAAAAAATATTACAGCAAAGACCACAGCAAGGCTTCCCTTAAGATGAGAAAATGTATATTTTATTGCAAAGAGCAAGGCATAGCTTGTAAAGCGGTTTGATATGCTGTTCAATGTCTACATCACAGACAGAGTTGCAAGAATTGGAAATCGATGACATTACATTTTTTAGCCTTCATGGGCAAAGTTGCCAGAAAATACTTTAACCGACCTTATTTACTTACTGGTTAAATTCACTTCATGAACCAAACACAAAATGGTGGGCAGTGAGGTGCGTTGTTCATTTCAAATTTAGATCTTGCGAAAGCTTTTTAAGAGTTTGAAAATTAAAGTCATTTTGAAAGTGATTTTTATCTTAGGAATTGAAATAAAATATCTCTGTGTCGTAAAAGCAAATATTTAACTTTGCAAGTTTGTATATTAATTATTCCAGTGACAGCAATATTTCATTCAGTTTTGAAGGCACGTGTTAAACTGACAGAAATTTATAGGATTTGAATGTAAAAATACAGCTTAGAAATGTATAGCATTTTCTCATGCATAGAGAGGGCAGAGTTCAAGACGAAGCTGTCAGAGCAGGTCATGGAGAAGGTCTTCAGTATATTAGATGTGATCAATCGTCATGCGTACGTGCCCAGTACACCCCCCAAAGAGGACGAGGAGTTGGTGTATGACACCAGCTTTACAGACATCCAACCCTACTTGTTCAGAGTAAGTTATCCACACATCTAACTCTGCTTGTTCAGAGTAAGTTATCCACAATCTAACACTGCTTGTTCAGAGTTAGTTATCCACACATCCAACCCTACTTGTTCAGAGTAAGTTATCCACACATCTAACCCTACTTGTTCAGAGTAAGTTATCGGCACATCCAACCCTATTTGTTCAGAGTAAGTTATCCACACATCCAACCCTACTTGTTCAGAGTAAGTTATCCACACATCTAACTCTGCTTGTTCAGAGCTAGTTATCCACATATCCAACCCTACTTGTTCAGAGTTAGTTATCCACACATCTAACCCTACTTGTTCAGAGTAAGTTATCGGCACATCCAACCCTATTTGTTCAGAGTAAGTTATCCACACATCCAACCCTACTTGTTCAGAGTAAGTTATCCACACATCCAACCCTACTTGTTCAGACTAAGTTATCCACACATCTAACTCTGCTTTTTCAGAGTTAGTTATCCACACATCTAACTCTGCTTGTTCAGAGTAAGTTATCCACACATCTAACTCTGCTTGTTCAGAGTTAGTTATCGGCACATCCAACCCTATTTGTTCAGAGTAAGTTATCCACACATCCAACCCTACTTGTTCAGAGTAAGTTATCCACAATCTAACACTGCTTGTTCAGAGTTATTTATCCACACATCTAACCCTACTTGTTCAGAGTAAGTTATCGGCACATCCAACCCTGTTTGTTCAGAGTAAGTTATCCACACATCCAACCCTACTTGTTCAGAGTAAGTTATCCACACATCCAACCCTACTTGTTCAGAGTAAGTTATCCACACATCCAACCCTACTTGTTCAGAGTAAGTTATCCACACATCCAACCCTACTTGTTCAGAGTTAGTTATCCACACATCTAACCCTACTTGTTCGGAGTAAGTTAGCCACACATCCAACCCTACTTGTTCAGAGTAAGTTATCCACACATCCAACCCTACTTGTTCAGAGTAAATTATCCACACATCCAACCCTACTTGTTCAGATGTATAATGTGGACACCTAACTTGCGATCTGCTAATCTAGTTCCATAAACAACACCCCCCCCCCTGCCCTTTTTCCCCACTGCCACACAGTCAAACAAAAGGTCATAAAACAGTGAACTCCATGACCTTGTCAAGACAGGTCAGGCATCATGACTGATGATGACATTGTTCATTTGGTTGAATTTAATGTCAATACACACACAGTATATTTCAAAAGGAGTCTATATTGCAAGAGCTGGCTTAATTTACAGATGAGTTGTCACCAATTACATCTAAATTTTAAATTCATTATTCGAGATCATTTTTAAAAATAAAATCGCTGTTCATAATTATTTTAAAACTCAAGATTTATGAAAATCGGTCTGTAAACTAACTGGTTTCATGTAAAATGTCCAAATATGCACGCAGCTAAGGGGAAAGCATTCATAAATTTGTCTTGTTGCTATAGTAAAATATAAAGTGTTGATGAAAAAATCGCGTACACCTTCCTCCGCGTATAATGCAAATCCCTAACTTTAAGTAGCATTTTTCAAGCTAAATTTCTGTCTTTATATGTGGTAATAAAAGGTATTTATAAAGATAACCAGCGCTATTGAGTAAGATACCAGTATATTTGATTAGTTGATGGCATGTCAAACTTAGATTCATCTAATTACTGAACACTGCTGTCTTGTTAACATACGGCCATGTGTAATAATTTTAAGCCTATGGTTATCATCAGTGCCGAAATAATGTTAACACTTAGCTATGCTCAGTGCTATATTAATGTTGACATATGGTTATGTCAAATCCTGCAGCATTATTTTATTTCTGAAGTGTTTACCTCACTGTACCTAGCCCCCCGTTGGTGTAGAGTACTGCTAGGATTCTAAAATGATTAATGTTGTGTTCTCCTACAGATTTCTCATCAAACGACTGGCCCGTCCCCTACATCTGTCGGCACCACAATGAGAAAATTTCTACGAGGATCATTGGCTTTATAAGTCAAACCAATAGTTCCATGCAAACTTTTTATTGAAATCTGGCAATCCAAAGCATTTGTCTATAAATTTTTAAAAATATTTTGCTATTGTATAAAATACTTTGATTTCATTTATGCCAGTTGTACAAGTCAGCCATGTTGCAATGTCTTATGCTGTACCGGTCAGCTGTGGAATTCAACATAGTTAAATAACCAAGTGTACAGGACCATGCCTTAGTAAACATGCGACATTTCTTGACCTGACCTGGGGGCTGTAATCTTTTCTCCCATGTTTGAAAGTAAATAGAAACACATGACCAGAAATCTACAGTTCATATTTTTTCTAATGAAATTCTCAGGCAGTTTCATCGGCAGTTCAAATGGAAAGCCCAGAAAATAAATCATATTGATGTAATGTAAACACAGTCTAAACCTCTTATGATGAGTTAACCTAAAAAGATGAATCACCAGAGATCGGAGATACTAATGGTTTTGCAAATTTTTACCTTTGATTTTTTTCCCTCTTCTGGCTTCTGTCAGCTGATGACCTACTTTCTGGCAATATGTGTACTACTGCCTTGGCCCCTGTCTTATGATTTGTAAACAATTTTAACCTCTACTACAGAAACTCTCACCAAAGTTTATTTTTGCTTAACGATTCATCTTTGCTCTTTTCAATTATAACCTGTGACTTTTCATTGCTGGCCTTGTTAAGTAAAGACAACAATTTTATTACTCATCTCTCGTTACATCCTGTTGTGGTATATGGAAGTAATAATTGTCAAGGCAGTTGAAAACATTACACAACTTGAAAATCACCCCCCCCCCTCTTTCCACCCACACCTTCTCATTTCTCTTTATTTTTACTGCTCCAGGAATCAATGAATTCACACTGTGGTAAATATTTCATGGTCATGTCAAAAGGTATATGGAAGTAAAAATTGTCAAGGCAGTTGAAAACATTACCCAACTTGAAAATCACCCCCCCCCCCCCTCTTTCCACCCACACCTTCTCATTTCTCTTTATTTTTACTGCTCCAGGAATCAATGAATTCACACTGTGGTAAATATTTCATGGTCATGTCAAAGGGAAATATTTGTGGGATATACTTGTGTGGTATATTTGTGTGGTATATTTGTAGGGTATATTTGAATGTTTAAAAAATATAATGGAGGTAATTCTGTTAATTTCATATAATATAATAATGTCTGTGAGCATGCTTGTTTTTTTAGAATGATTTCTCTATTTCAGTGAAATAAATGTTAAAACCAATTTAAATAATGATCAAATATTTATTTTCATTGCACGTAAAAATGACAACATGTTTGCATAATGCAGCTGTGTATTAGATGTAACCGTCATGACACATTTCAAGAATAAGAGATAAATGTACAGCAACTGAATGAAAATGTTACCATACAAAAAAATTATATACCGGTAACGTAACAACAACTTAGAGAGTATTTTGTAAAATGTTAAAAATGTCAAAATTACAACAAAACACATATTTAAAATAAAGTATTGTAACGCAACAACAAAAAATGGGCATAATTCTTAGAGACAGTGGAATTACTCTAACCAAAAGTCACATTTCTGCTCCAAGTCTCCCAACCCCAATAGTGGAAATATAAAAAGATCAGGATCTTGCATGGGGATAAATTAGCTGGTTTTTATTGATAGTTTTGATCTGAGTTTATATTTAAAATTTACTTTACCATGGCCCAGATTGTTAAATTCTGAAAATTAATTCATCATTGAATGTAGAAATGGAATGCCTAAATGAAGCATGGTGCCATATTCTTAGAATACTGAAACAAGGCTGTGTTTTTTTTAAACTGGCGAGGTGCTGTTGCTGTTCAACTGGCGAGGTGCTGTTGCTGTTGAACTTGTATACATTTAAATAATAAATGAAAATCTAGATGTCCAAAAGTCTATGGAGACAGCAGACAAATGTCACAGTGACTTGAATGTGTTAACTTGTGACATTCTGTCACCATCCAGTCACATCTCTACCGTGACAGATTTGACAGATAACAGAACAGTTTGAACGGTTGAGGTGACAACATATTTGTGTCTATTGCCTCCAGCCTTCAAACCCCTAGTTCATGATTTCCTCATCAACACCAGTAACAGAAACATTGCAAATCCCATCTACAAATGCATAGGAGCCAAAATGATCAATAAATTGATCATGGGCCCTTAAGATATAGAAGAAGAAGAAGATGACCAGACATTAGGAAGGGCTTGACAAAGTGTGGGCTCGGTGACCCCTGACCCTCTAATTGACTTGACTAGACAAAAATTATTGCTTTCACTTTTTCCTTGTTTCCAACACAAATATGCATAGCTTCATACCATGGCTCCAACACAAATATGCATAGCTTCATACCATGGCTCCAGTACAAGCATACATAGCTTCATACTGTGGCTCCAATACAAGTATACATAGCTTCATACTGTGGCTCCAATACAAGTATACAGAGCTTCATACCAACACAACTATACATAGCTTCATACCATGGCCCCAAAGTAGTTACATAGCTTCATTCCATGTTTAAAGAGAGCAAGTTTGGTTAGTTTGCTAATCACCAGACTGGAACTTTTCAGATGTTTCGCTGGTGCAGGATACAATTCAAATCTTTGAGTCTGTGAATGATGCGCATGTGTGTCTCCATGTGTGAGGCTTTCTTGTCACCAACTGACTCCAGGTCAAAATGGCGGAGGATTGTAATGGTGTACATAAAGAGTTGCATCTCTGCAATTTGATCTCCAACGCATCGTCTTGCTCCTAGATGAGACAGTTATGTTTATGATGAGTGATTGGCTGGATTGAACAGGACAATCAAAATATACTATCAATTAACCAGCGATGCCTGATTGGCTGGATTGAACAGGCCAATCAAATTATGCTATCATTAACAAAAGTTCAGTGATTGGCTGGATTGAACAAGCCAATCAAAATATACTATAAATTAACAAAAGATCAGTGATTGGCTGGATTGAACGGCCAATCAAAGTATACTACCAATGAACAAGAGATGAACTAGGTTCCCATGATGTATGACATCAGTGTATAAAAGTGTAAAACCAAAACCATTACACCATTTCAAAACAAAACATTAATATAATGTTCCAGTTCTTGAGCCTCGTTTATTAGCCCACCCCACCTCCCACCCCACACTGATTTAGCGTATGATCTATTCTTAATTATTTAAAAAATCTTCTTAAAAGAAATGTGCATACCTATTCCATATGGCCTAAAACTTTGAGGGGCCACGTACTGACCGTGGCCGTCTAGATGGCGCTGTGGTCTGAACTCTTCAGGGTCAAGGTAAAATGCAGGGTCATAGTGCAAGCTGTAGATGCTTCCCATTACATATGTCCCTTTTGGTATGGTGTACCCTTCAATCTGTCGAGAAATATCTTTGCATGAACATGTCCGTGGAAAAGTAATATTGCATTTTCATCTTCATACAACATATTCTTTTAAAATCGTGCACCATGACCTACTTCTAGTGACTAAAAGTATCGATTACCTCTGTATCTTCTCTGGCGACGTGGGGGAGGGATGATGGCGTGACAGAACCCAGCCTCAGGGCTTCAACTATGCAGGCGTGGACATAGGGCATTTGTTCCCTCATCGACCACTTCATCTCTCCACCGTTGGCTTGGACTGCCGCGTCAATTTCCTGTTGGGCCAGCTGCCTCATTCTTGTATGTTTGGACAGGTACATGATGACGAACTCCATGGCGGACAAGGTGCTGGTCACGCCCCCAAAGAACATGTCGATCAGCGATTGGAGGAGCTCCTCGTCTGGGTCAGAGAAAAATTATTCCATGTACATTTCTTGGAAGCGATCTATTATTTACATTATTATTAAACGTTGCCTTGACATGTTTAAAGGGTGATATTACATTGGAGAATTAGTTCTGGCAATTTAAGACATGATTAAAATGTATCAATTTGTATTAGAAACTAAAAAAACAGAAGTTCGGCTTTACTCACCATTTTCTTCTGTGACATTCGCGAACTCTGGTTGTCTCAGTATTCTCTGCAAGATGGAGTTGTTGTGCTCATTGACCGACATCTGCTTGGTGAACGTCCACTGGTACTCGGAGAGTGGGGTGCTGGGACATTTCTTCTCCGGGCACTCGGACGCTTCAAACGGCTCCTCGCCGTGGCCCGTCTCCGAGAACCCGAGGACCGCGAACTGCGTGGCGCACCGCATGGACGATTCAATCTTGCTCTCGTCTCTCGGTGGCGTGATGGTTACCTCCGCGTCATCAACGGTGGCATCGCCCGCGGTGTCGCGTCTGAGGCTCAGCGGGTCCTTCCCAGCGACTGGTTTGAGAAACTGGTTCGTGTTTTTGTCAAAGTGGGACGTCGGCAGCGGGGACAGGGTCCCCATGCGGGCTTGTCTTATCCATTGTCTGAGCAGACGCTGCAGCTGTCTGGACGTGCCGTGGACGTCAACGATTTCTTTGAAGAACAGTTTGGAGAGTGGTTCTCTGAGTCTGGAAATTGGAAAAAAGTAAAGTTAATCAACTCAAACCAATCCCCAAAAATACGTGTTTCATTTGTTTGTTATACCCGAGTTTGAAATGACCATAAATGACCAGAACATCAAGTCAAAATCCTGGAGCCTTGTGCCTAATGTTGGCGTGCCAAGTCTTCATTAAATAATTGTTTAATTTCAATAAATGTTCCTAACTGTCGGGGCACAATAAATTCACAGGAAGCTCAGCCACTGACTCAACTCAGCCACTGACTCAACTCAGCCACAGACTCAACTCAGCCACTGATTCAACTCAGCCACTGACTCAACTCAGCCACTGACTCAATTCAGCCACTGACTCAATTCAGCCACTGACTCAACTCAGCCACTGACTCAACTCTTTTGAAAAATCGTTGCATAAGCGCCGCCTTTTTTACTGGTTGAGGCAACGCACCAAGCTAGTAGGCGTGGCTACTCACCAAGCTAGTAGGCGTGGCTACTCACCAAGCTAGTAGGCGTGGCTACTCACCAAGCTAGTAGGCGTGGCTACTCACCAAGCTAGTAGGCGTGGCTACTCACCAAGCTAGTAGGCGTGGCTACTCACCAAGCTAGTAGGCGTGGCTACTCACCAAGCTAGTAGGCGTGGCTACTCACCAAGCTAGTAGGCGTGGCTACTCACCAAGCTAGTAGGCGTGGCTACTCACCAAGCTAGTAGGCGTGGCTACTCACCAAGCTAGTAGGCGTGGCTACTCACCAAGCTAGTAGGCGTGGCTACTCACAAAGCTAGTAGGCGTGGCTACTCACCAAGCTATTAGTAGGCGAGGCTTCCCATTTTTTCACAAGGAAGTAGAAACTAAAGCTCACTGTACCGGTACATCTATAAATAAGTGAGTGTGCTTAAACACCAGGTCATTACAAAGACAACAACGTTGTATGTCAGGGTAATACAAATGAACGGCGGCAAGTCATCTAAGTCACAAATTAAAACAGTTCACACTGACCTCGGGTGTTTGAGCGATATCTGCGTGAGCAGCGATGACAGGTCACAACCTTCCAAGCTCCTGGCTATCTTGCTCAACTCTTTTCTGTCGGCGGAGTCCTCGGGAAGTGATCCGCCGAGAAGAAGACCCCCGACGGCATTGACGCAAGCTGATATCAGTACGTCGCCGATTTTGATTGGCCGGCCGGCCTGCGCGCGCAGGTGGTCTAGGACCATCGACAGCTCCATCTGGATGGCGCCCTCCATGTTCTCCAGGAACGTTGTCGTGTGCAGGGCTTTCATGAACGCTCGTTTGTTTTTCTTCCATTTTTCTCCGCTGCCAAATAAAATACCTGGAGAGAACAAAAGAAAACAAGGAGTCTTGAGGTTTGTTCCTGAACATAGTCTTTCTGTCTTATAAGCCAGAACTGGGGCAACGTTTAAGACAGCGATTTGACAACATGTCACTCTTTTCGTTTTTTTCACCCTCCCCTCTCTGTGGCTCCTAGAAAAATATTTTATTAGCAGAGATAAGTTATGAAATGGCTCTTTACTCAGAAAAGGTTTGACAACCTATGGATTAAGACATGTAGCACATAAGACAGGAAGCTGAGAGTGAATAACTGAATTATGGGAAATATGTCAACGTTGAAGAGATATGGGTTTCAAATCTGTTTACTTGCTGGTGGAATGTTTCATGTGCTCGTGTTTCTGTCTACTCTATTGAGGTGAGGGTTCATTTTTCTTTAGAATATGGCCCGCCACAACCCACGCAAATACTGCACAACACAATGAGTCACAACTGTCTAGCTTATGACGCCTAAAATACACAACACAATGAGTCACAACTGCTTAGCTTATGACGCCTAAAATACACAACACAATGAGTCACAACTGCTTAGCTTATGACGCATATAATACACAACTGGTTAGCTCACCTTCACCAATAGCACCGGGGCCCATAGGACGGTCTAAAAATAGCTCTCCTTGTCTCCCTTCCAAGTACTTCTTCACGAGTTCCAGATTGTTGAGATACACCAAACTTTTGTTGCCAAGTTTGACGTAATAAATTCCTCCGTATTGTTTGGTCCAGGCCAGATTGGTCTTGGGTCCCTTGAAGTCCAGCAAAGATCCGATGCACGGAAGGCCATTTGGTCCAGGGGGTAGAAACTTGGGACTCGCTGTGTCTCTGCTGTCTGTGGACAGCTCCGAACTGACCGTTGAGGAATGTTCAACGCTGGTTTTCTGATTGGAAAGGAAATAAGAATAATGACAACAGGGCATTTGGTCAGTGTTTAGAACACGAAGTAGGTTTACATATTAGTATATTTGTATTCCAATGTAGCTTTGTGTGTAAGTGGTATTTATTTGTCTCGTGGTGTTTTGTAGTCTCGTGGTGCTTTGTAGTCTCGTGGTGTTTTGTAGTCTCGTGGTGTTTTGTTGTCTCGTGGTGTTTTGTTGTCTCGTGGTGTTTTGTTGTCTCGTGGTGTTTTGTAGTCTCGTGGTGTTTTGTTGTCTCGTGGTGTTTTGTTGTCTCGTGGTGTTTTGTTGTCTCGTGGTGTTTTGTTGTCTCGTGGTGTTTTGTTGTCTCGTGGTGTTTTGTTGTCTCGTGGTGTTTTGTTGTCTCGTGGTGTTTTGTTGTCTCGTGGTGTTTTGTTGTCTCGTGGTGTTTTGTTGTCTCGTGGTGTTTTGTTGTCTCGTGGTGTTTTGTTGTCTCGTGGTGTTTTGTTGTCTCGTGGTGTTTTGTTGTCTCGTGGTGTTTTGTTGTCTCGTGGTGTTTTGTTGTCTCGTGGTGTTTTGTTGTCTCGTGGTGTTTTGTTGTCTCGTGGTGTTTTGTTGTCTCGTGGTGTTTTGTTGTCTCGTGGTGTTTTGTTGTCTCGTGGTGTTTTGTTGTCTCGTGGTGTTTTGTTGTCTCGTGGTGTTTTGTTGTCTCGTGGTGTTTTGTTGTCTCGTGGTGTTTTGTTGTCTCGTGGTGTTTTGTTGTCTCGTGGTGTTTTGTTGTCTCGTGGTGTTTTGTTGTCTCGTGGTGTTTTGTTGTCTCGTGGTGTTTTGTTGTCTCGTGGTGTTTTGTTGTCTCGTGGTGTTTTGTTGTCTCGTGGTGTTTTGTTGTCTCGTGGTGTTTTGTTGTCTCGTGGTGTTTTGTTGTCTCGTGGTGTTTTGTTGTCTCGTGGTGTTTTGTTGTCTCGTGGTGTTTTGTTGTCTCGTGGTGTTTTGTTGTCTCGTGGTGTTTTGTTGTCTCGTGGTGTTTTGTTGTCTCGTGGTGTTTTGTTGTCTCGTGGTGTTTTGTTGTCTCGTGGTGTTTTGTTGTCTCGTGGTGTTTTGTTGTCTCGTGGTGTTTTGTTGTCTCGTGGTGTTTTGTTGTCTCGTGGTGTTTTGTTGTCTCGTGGTGTTTTGTTGTCTCGTGGTGTTTTGTTGTCTCGTGGTGTTTTGTTGTCTCGTGGTGTTTTGTTGTCTCGTGGTGTTTTGTTGTCTCGTGGTGTTTTGTTGTCTCGTGGTGTTTTGTTGTCTCGTGGTGTTTTTTTGTCTCGTGGTGTTTTGTTGTCTCGTGGTGTTTTGTTGTCTCGTGGTGCTTTGTTGTCTCGTGGTGTTTTGTTGTCTCGTGGTGTTTTTTTGTCTCGTGGTGTTTTCTTGTCTCGTGGTGTTTTTTTGTCTCGTGGTGTTTTTTTGTCTCGTGGTGTTTTTTTGTCTCGTGGTGTTTTGTAGTCTCGTGGTGCTTTGTAGTCTCGTGGTGTTTTGTAGTCTCGTGGTGCTTTGTAGTCTCGTGGTGCTTTGTTGTCTCGTGGTGTTTTGTAGTCTCTAGGTGCTTTGTAGTCTCGTGGTGTTTTGTTGTCTCGTGGTGTTTTTGTTGTCACGTGTTGTTTTGTAGGCGTTGATTTCGTTAGGACCTTGATCAATACGATCTAGAGAAGTAGATCTTAAAACAAAGCAAAACATGATGAGATCAGCAACCGAATCTCCAAAGCAAATGTTGTGTTTGGTGGAAGGCTCCGCCTTTGGTGGAAGGTTCCGCCAGAGTGTTTTTGCAGCGAAGTGCTCTCAACCGTGTCACTACGCTGAAAGTATATAGGGAGCTCGTATTTGCGTCTGTCCTACACGATTGCGAGACGTGGACAGTGTACAGCAGACGCGCTAGACAGCTTAACCATCTCCACCTTCGCTGTCGATGTAAACTTCTTGGCATGAGTTGGCAGGACAAAGTCCCTGATACAGAGACCCTACAATCGGATGATTTTATCAGAAACCACACGCTCCTACAAAAAGGATTGACCAGATGGGCAAGGCATGCTGCAAGAATGCCAGACAGCAGACTTTTCTCGGAAAGCTGCGGCATGGTGGGCAACAAAAATACATCAAGTACCTTCTAAAATAACTCTTGAAAGCTTCACTCAAATCCATGGACATGACATTGATTCATGGGGAACACTTGTTATGGATCGCATGGCACCTGCATACTAACCGTGGACTACAGCCTTGGTAATCTTCGCATCCCACCTTCATACTAACCGTGGACTACAGCCTTGGTCATCTTCGCATTCAAAGGACGAGCAACAACAAACACCAATACTTATTTCAAATGCAAATTTTTGTTTTATCATGAACTTTATACGTAAGAGCTAGATTTTGGATTTCCCCCTACGTAGCACAGTATTTTCGAAATTTGTAGGGACCTGGGAGACTCATGCCCTGACTTTTTCTTAGGGACCTGGGAGAATCATGCCCTGACTTTGTCTTAGGGACCTGGGAGACTCATGCCTGACTTTTTCTTAGGGACCTGGGAGACTCATGCCCTGACTTTTTCTTAGGGACCTGGGAGACTCATGCCCTGACTTTGTCTTAGGGACCTAGGAGACTCATGCCTTGACTTTGTCTTAGGGACCTGGAAGACTCATGCCCTGACTTTTTCTTAGGGACCTGGGAGACTCATGCCTTGACTTTGTCTTAGGTTGCTACGGTTCAAACAAGTTAAAAAGAAGAAAATAATTTGGAAAAAAAAAGAGTAGGCGGACGTGAAGAATACTAAACACCAGGGACGTGCTGGCCCACGACGACGGGACGAGCATTCGTCATGGGCCTTTTTGGGCAGTTATCACAATCTCCGGTGTGCGGGAAGGGGGGGGGGCTCCGGGCCTTTCTTACTACACCGTTCGTCACGGGTTTCCATGTGCCAGCACGTCCCTGCTAAACACTATTCATATTTGCAGTAAAATGCGTTCACATCCGATGTATTGTATTCCAGGTGTCGGCACCCTATTGGTTATATTGTGCCAAAATTTCAGCAACGACTGCCACTCCATGATCTTACTTATTTAAAGGTTGGGTGTCGTCATCACTCCGACCATTGTGCATCCAAGCTCACGAAGGTGCCAATAAGACACTAAAAAAATCGTCTAGTGCAGACGCTCAGATGCTGATGAGTGATCAAATGATTAAACGGGAAACCGTCCTACCTTAGAGCTGCCACCCTACCTTAGAGCTGCCACCCTACCTTAGAGCTGCCACCCTACCTTAGAGCTGCCACCCTACCTTAGAGCTGCCACCCTACCTTAGAGCTGCCACCCTACCTTAGAGCTGCCAGCCTACCTTAGAGCTGCTACCCTACCTTAGAGCTGCCACGCCACCTTAGAGCTGCCAGCCTACCTTAGAGCTGCGACCCCACCTTAGAGCTGCCACGCTACCTTAGAGCTGCCAGCCTACCTTAGATCTGCTACCCTACCTTAGAGCTGCCACCCTACCTTAGATCTGCTACGTCACCTTAGATCTGCCACGCCACCTTAGAGCTGCCACCCCAAATTAGATTTGCCACCCCATCTTAGATCTGCCACCCCACCTTAGAGCTGCCAGGCCACCTTAGATCTGCCACCCCACCTTAGATTGGCCACCCCATCTTAGATCTGCCACCCCACCTTAGAGCTGCCACGCCACCTTAGATTTGTCACCACACCTTAGATCTGCCACCCCACCATAGATCTGCCACCCCACCTTAGATCTGCCATCCCAAATTAGATTTGCCACCCCACCTTAGAGCCCCCCCCCCCCCCTCGGGCCCCCCCCCCCCCATTCCCCCCCCCCCCCCCCACACTCGTCATTTCCAAAACGAACCAAGTTATATCGTTAAACTAAGACTAAGATAGCAGAAGTGAGCGCGGTCACGTGTGTCTTGACGCCCTTCCAACTTACATTAGCTCGTTGCCACATCACACAAGCCACATCACACAAGCCACATCACACAAGTGCTCTGTGTTAAAAGAACAAATTTGTCAAACGCGTAATTTCCCCTCCAGAATCCAACTCACAGTGACCAAGTTAGTAAATCCACACAGCGTTGAGCGTGACACTATTCTGACCCGAATGTTTGGAAGCGTCTCTACAATGGCGAAAGGCTTCTCTCTGATATATTTATGGGGCCACCAGCCACACCCTCTCAATGTGCGCGCAACAATGGGGTGGGTGGTTGTTAGGTAGGGTGCAACGACGGTAGGGGAGCTGGGGGTGCGTGGTGGATTTTAGCTGTCAGACCTAAGGTCACAGGCTGTCTCAGGATAGATACAAACTTGGATCAAACCACACGGTTTGAAAGGAAATACAATGAAATATAATGAAATAGAATTATGTTCAACTCTTTCTTTTCGCCATTGTAAATATGCCTTTGACATTCTTCGAGGATAAATTTGATGCTAGGACGAATGATAAGTTTGATGATAGACGAATGATAAGTTTTAATGATAAGACTATTGTACTTTATGGTAGTTCTGAGGGTAAGCAAAATGACAAGTTAAATCATAAGTTTAAAGATACAAGCTCAAGCCCATCATATGTCAAATTTTAAGTTTTTAAGATTAGTAAGTCAGTAGAGGCCCTACAACATTTACATTTACTCGTCCGTTTAATCACAAGTCTAGAGATCGAGATGGGGCGCGGGTATGTTTCGAAATCAAGAGAGGGTGCAGCGCTACATAAAGATTAAGAACCGCTGCTCTAGAGTCTAGACTAAACATACACAACCAAAACACATGCCGTTAAGCAACGGACTGTTCTGAGGGACTGTGGACGTCATAATGATCCATCTGTCTGCAGATCTCCAGTGTAACTGGGTGTGGGGGGTGGGTCTGTGGCTGGTGTGTGTGTCTGTGGGGGGGGAGGGGGTCTACAACGCCTTAAATGACATTTGACATTTTAGACCGCATGTGCCTGGTTGTTCAGAGTTGGGTTGTTACTTTGTTTGCAGCAGTCGAATATGTTTTCTAGGACGTCGATGCTCGAGACTTCCATTGCTGAAACCATGTTTGTAAGACTACCGCAACGACTTCCCGTCCTGGAAATGCTATCTTCACACACAGGGCGACAAGAACGGCGAGGGCAAGGTGGAAAAACAAAACCGGCTAAAGCAGACAGTTCGCGCCATGACGTCATTTACGTGTTTATTTCACTTAATCGGTTTAGGGTTCTGGTTAGGGTTAGGTTTTGGGATAGGTTTAGGGTTCGGGTTAGGGTTAGGAATAGGTTTAGAGTTCGGGTTAGGGTTAGGGATAGTTTAGGGCTTGTGTTACGTTTAGGGCAACCAAGATGGCGACCATGGCGCGGATTGTCCGAATTTACAAAAAAAGCAACAAACATGGATAACTTACCCGCCATCGACTTTTAAACCCCCATATTTGTCTTACTTGACGAAGTTGGAAAAACCTTTGAATCGCGTTTCTAATCTTCATTTGAAGCCAGTAATATGTTACAACAAGAACACAAATTAAAATGGCTGTCCATGTCATTACGGTCTGTTCAGATAATGTGTCGCTGCGTTGAGGCCTAACAGAAGTAAGCGTTAGTTTCCAGTAGCCTGGCGATTGGCGTACAACTCGGTTGACGTCTTAATCGGCCGAAAGCTAGCATACAATGGATGACAGCATATTCAGACAACATAATTTGTTTGATGGGCTGTCGATAGATTCACACACTATCTGGCTCACAGACCCTTAAGCACACACTCACATATTCCGCACACACACACACACGTTAAGACAGCCCCCCAGCCACACACATGCCCACTCGTCCGTTTGTCACACGATTGATGTCCGTCAAGTCTGTGGATTAAGATAGGGCCGGAAGTTAAGATCTGATCTCCCTATGGTGAAGTGCCGCGGCCCCTTCTCACCCCCCCCCCAATCCATTAGGGGGGTCATTAAGAATCGCTCTGATTGGATTGGTCAACAATGACAATCGGTCGTGTGCCAAAGGACAACGCATAACAACACTACCGAGAGAACAGCTGTCCTAGTCACGTTAAGGTTGACATAGTTTTGAGTTGCCGCCTTAGAGAATGGTAGGTCGTGCCGAAAAAAATTAAAAACATTAGGCGTTGTATCGCCCCACTACTGAGCACTTGAAATACTTGGCCAACTTGGCCACCACACAGATCAGCCCTTAACACTGACAACATTGAGAGTTGAAAGGAGTCCAGGGGGGGGGGGGGGGGGGTCGCCATTTTTAAAGCACAAAAGAAAAAAAAAAAAAAAGGGGGGGGGGGGGGGGCTATGTCCATCTTTCAAGCTCAAAAGAATAAAAAAATAACATGTGACAAGGACGCCGAAGTTTCAACAGGTCAGCAACACATGTGACGTCATAGTGGCAGTCACCCGGCCCGGTGGAGGAGGAAGTGCTGTGACTCCCGGTTGGGGGAGGGGGAGTGGAGGGGGGGGGGCAAATTTACAAGGGAGATGATTTCACTGAATGTCATTATTTTAAATGTACTGCAATGACAGTCGGGAGTTTGTACAAGGGAGATAACTTCACTTAAACGTCACAAAAGCGCTTGTCTAGCTGTGACCATGGAAGCTGGTTTAAGTTAGTTTTTTTTTTTTATTAAGTTCTTAGAGACACTAACCCCAGCTGCGTCGAATTATAAAATTATCTTAAATAAACAGACATTCCTACACCCTACCTGCCGGCCTTTAAACAATAGCCCTACAGACAGTCCCAGGCCTTACCCCATGGCTTTTATGGATTAATATAATAGCGCCCCCCCCCCACCCCATGACGAGTACAACACGCCCTTTTTACCGGAGTTCAAACGTCATACATGAAAGCTCACTGTGTGACACCCTTTTTTTTCACCCAGTGCCATCAACATAAAACGCATGGGGTGGGGGGGTGGGGTGGGTGTCAAAAGCAATCAGGACGAACCAGACGCAATAGATGGAAGATATCAAAGACATTATTTACAAAGGAGCATCATTTTTTCGTTATTTAATGGAACAATTCTAGTTGTAGAAGACGAGGCATCCTGGCAAGATTTAATGACTTCCAACACAGACACACACTGAAATGAAGGTTTAACTGAAATTGTTGAATCCAGCAAATTCATTGAGATTTGAGATGTTTCGAGTATCTTTTTGGCACCTTCTTGCTCACAATAAAAATAACAACATTTTTAAAGTGGCCTTTACACATGGCCTTGAAACAACAAACTTGCCTAATCCGTAATCTTTATTGACAAACACTTTTATTTTTTTTTACGGCTGTAGCCTATAAACATTTGTACAAGAATGCTGCTAAGAGAAACTAGTCACAAAATAGTAAATCTTTTTTTTCTCCTTTTAAATTGTATTTTTATCTATATTTTAAGTGTCGTTTTTTTCACCCGCCATATATGACAGATTTTTCAATCTCTCGTCTTTTGAGAGTTAAATCCATCGAGTTGATAAGTAGATGAGTTGGCATGAAGATATGTGTAATTAAAGCTGTATCAATTTGTTCAATCACATCAAAAAATAAAAATGAATCCTGCCTTGGAACTTTTCATCAGAAAATACAAATTAATCTAACCTTTGAAATTACATCAGAATATCAAAATGAATCCTACCTTTGATCTTGTCATTTCTGCAGGTACACGGTTTTCTTCTCCGTTTTCTTCAATGGAGTCGAGGAAAGGTTTTGTGGCATGGCAAAGGCTCGTCATTTTTATAGTCTTGAGATCCGTGGGAAATTCAGAGGCGATATCTTTCCTTGGTAAAAAATAATAATCTCGAACAAGATAGTTGATTCATGTTTGTCGTAGAGGATTGCACGCGGTCAAGTTCCCAGCCAATCACAAAGCAGATCCCTTAGTTTCTTATACGTGCAATTAAGGGTAGTTAAGTTCCCGGAAGTTAGTGACGTCACGCACCGAAACCATTGGTAGCTTGATGCATAGCAAGCCACTGTGGAAGATTTTAGAGTTTTTTTGTTTTAAGTCAAGACACTTGAATGAAAGTTGGTCACAGTGGCTTGGGGGGGGGGGGGTGGGGGGGGGGG